AAGGAGCCGAGTACTTTACCTATATCTTTAGCGATGGATCATATGTAGGGGTTCCACTTGAGGTCGGGTGTGAGTTTGAGGTACATTCCCTCCTAAGGCACAGTGCCTCCTCGAGGAGACATCCGTTCATTTTGACCGGCGGTAGTTCGGGGTCTGTTCGGCGGTTATGGAAGGTAACCAGCCAGTTTACCCCCCCCTACACACACACACACACACACACACTTAGAAGTTGATGTTAGATCGAAAGAGAGGTCAACTGCCAATCTTTAATCGTCAAGAGTTTGATCTTAAGTTGAATTATTCCATGAGTTTCTCTAACACTTTGTTGGTATGGCTCTTCACAGTGGTTCAAAGTTTCCTGCAACGGACATAAATTTGCGTCACTTTCAGAAAATCTACGATTGAAAATTTCCGTTTTATTTTCTTTCTTTTTTTTTTTTCTTTGTTCTTTTTACCTTTTTTTTTCCTTTTTGCTTTCTGTTTTCCTTCTTTTATTTTCACTTTATCGTTTTCCCCTCTTTTAATACATTTTTTTTCTTCTCTATATTTTATTTTTCTTTTGTTCCTTTTGCTTTCTTTTGTTGTTTTCTTTTTCTTCTGTCCTTTTTTTTTCTTTTCTTTCTTTCTTTTTCCCATCTTTTATCGTTCATCCTCTTTCTTTTCGGCCTGATCAGGCTCCTTATAAATCTAGAGCATAGCATGAAGAGTCAGGTACTTACCAGAGCGGTACAAGGAGCCGAGTATTTTACCTGCATCTTTAGTGAGGGATCCGTAAGGGTTTAAATGATTTCCATTCACTTCGTATTCCATTTGTATTCCATTCCATGTATCTATCTATCTATCTATCTATCTATCTATCTATATATATATATATATATATATATATATATATATATATATAAGTATTTTCGGTCTGATCTGGCTTATATAAAGCTAGAGCATAGTATGAAGAGTCAGGTACTTAACAGAGCGGTACAGAGAGCCAAGTATTTTACCTGCATCTTTAGCGATGGATCTGTAATCAGGGTTAAATGAGTTTCATTCACTTCGTATTCCATTTGTAAGGAGGATGTCCCACCGAGACAGCTTGTTCCCAATTTGGGAAACACACTCCCGAGTGGATACTTTTACGATTACATCAATGTTAACCTCTTTAAGTCTAGGAACATCTGTTATCTATCCTCCATATTCTCATAATCTATTCCTTTCGCTTATTGCATTCGTATTAATCTGTTATTTTAAACCTTGATTGGCTACGGCGCCTTGTATTGAGTGAACATTTTTATTAAAAACTAAAGAAAAACTTGACGATAGTATTTATGGACCTATAGAATTTGGTCCGAAGAAATTTGCTAAATATTTTAATTTCCCTCTCAAGATACCAAATTTTACGTAGCTCTCATTTCAGTTGGCTGAAAGAATCCGTCAGTGGCTGAAAGAGTGCAACAGTCGTAGTAATAGTCCGTCGGTCGTAGAAAGAGTACGTCAGTCGTAGAAATAGTCTGTTGGTCATAGAAATAGTAAGTCTATCGTTGAAATAGTCAGTCGGTCGTAGAAATAGTAAGTCGGTCGTAGAAATAGTCTGAGTCTGTCGCTCGTAGAAATTATCTTTCGGTCGTAGAAATAGTCTGTTGGTCGTAGAAAGAGTAAGTCGATCGTAGGAATCGTCTGTCGGTTATAAAAAGAGTAAGTCGGTCGTAGAAATAATCTGCCGATGGTAGAAAGCGTAAGTCGGTCATAGTGAAAATAGCGCCTCAGAGCAGTTACCATGAAAATATTTGTAGAAAATACGTCTGTGAGAAAGTGAATGGAGTCGAGATACCAGGTCAGGACCTATCACACTGCATATCCATCTTTGGACAATGATTTAGAAATACATTTTTTTTTTAAATATTTGTTATTGATTAGGCTAAATATCACAGATGAAATAGTTCTATTACATAGATAGCATAAATATTTACATTAATTATTGACCACGGAAATAAGGCTTACGGCCATATCGTGTTGAAATATCGGTTCCGGTACGATCACTAAAGTTAAGCAACGTCGAACCTGGTTAGTACCTAGATGAATACTAGGTAATTTAAACGGGGATGTGCAGATGGTGTAATGGATAGAGGCTAAGAATCGTTAATCCGAGAGCCGAGTTCCAATTCCAATTGGGTTCGATATATTCACTTACGCGCAAATAACCATATGAAAGGTATGAGTAAATTAGTAAAACTTGTATCACAAAATCATTATTATCTTCACCCCAACAATAATAATTTTCTGGCTTTAAATAACCTGCAAAAGGTTGATAAACCGTAGAAAAGGAATCAATCGAATCACCATGGAATTCAGTCGGTTAAGTGGCATAGGTGATACACGCTTGCGTGTGACACCATTTAAGGGCACGAAAAAAAAGAAAAAAGAAAAAAAAAGGAAAAAGAGAAAGGAAAGAAAGGAAAAGAGAGGCGAGACTTAAGCTTAGATGATAAAAGAAGCCACCCACGACCGGGGACATTGACAATGTTATTTTGATAAGTAGCAAATGGTGAAAGGTTTCATTACCATTGCAGAAAAATTCTAAATGGATAAGAAAATCGACTATGTTCTGGTGGCGGACTTGTGTTATCGGGGATAGATAACAGCCACTTAATGCTGGCGAACATCTAATTAACAAACCACAGGCCGGCTAGCTAAAACTCCGAGGCAATTCGACAATGTTATTTTGATAATGGAAAAGATGGTGAAAATTTTGACCACCAGTGTCGTAGAACTGTCTGACAAAGAACAGGTGAATACAGAGCTTTGGATAGATAAGAAAAATTAACTGTGTCAGATGGGGCAAACAATATTGTCGGGAAAGGATTTAATAGGTCGTCTGCTAACCGCACACGAAGCCAACCCTGGGTCACGTCTTGGCCGTTTTGACAAGACATCTATGGGTGTTAGAATTCGGTTGTGATAATAAAACTATGTTATCAGAAATTGGCACCAAGAATGCAAATACGGCTAGGACAATGGAACTGTTTTTTCGAGACGACGGTCGACTGTGTTTCGCTAGACGACTACCCCACTTGATAATTGGCATTGATAGATCCCAGGTGACATTGGGGGATGTGAGCTGCGATTAAGGAAAGAAAAGGAAAAGAAAAAGATAATTTTTTTTTGAGCAAGATATATTTTTTTTCCTAAAACAAAGCCAACCGGATCACACCCACCCGGCTGGACGCTATTGACCGAATGATAACGAGGGCCAGGCAGAGGTGATCACGTGACGCAAGGAGGGAAGCTGCCGCCGCCCATTTAGAGGATAGTTGCTACGAAGAAGTGGGGGGGAACTGTTGACGCCCCTCTGAAATATGGTGAGATATCCATATGAGAATAAGAGAAGGTGGGAGTAATAGAAGACTTCCAAAAATGGAAAGGAGTGGAAAATTCCTAACCAAAAATAAAAGAAGTGGAAATGGATTTAGAATTATCGAGGAACCTCCAACCCCGGCAAACCCACCTCGGTTTTGGTTGGCGTCCATATAAGCAAAGTCGCAGCGAGCAAAAAAGAGTTCAGTTCAGTTGAGTTCAGTTCAGAGGAGTTCAATCCAGAGTGCTCAGTTGAAGCAGGCCTCGATAAAGCTGACTAAGATTCGCGCAACTTCCGAACCCATCTTCAATCAAAGAACAATTTATTTTGAAGAGCGACTTAGATCCATACCACCAAAATAAGTTTTTCGACTATCGCCTGAAGACACACCAAGAACCAATTTCTTAAAGAACAGACAACTTAAAATGTTAAAACTCACCTAACAAAAACAACGTGTCACAATCCATATAGCGGGTTGGGAGATAGACGCAGTCCTATGTATCCAGCAACCAGATATAAAGTATTGTTATCCTTTTTTTGATACCTTGAACTTTTGAGTTATCATTTTATTTTCTTTTATGCATATTTGGGCGGTGTCACCCTCGTTTGAACTCAATTTGCATTACGGCCCCAACGACTGATTGATTTCGTCTGCCTGAGATCAATTCACAACGTGGGTAGGCGGACTAGAGATCAACGCAGTTACTTTGGTAACCAGACGTTGGAAGCGAGTTGGAAACGACGAGGCTGATATCGGATCTGACCAGATTCCCATCCGAATCACCAAAAGGTTAGAACGTCACATTTGGGTGCCACGACCAATACCAAGCCAGTTGATCGTCACAGGACGGGACAACACGACTGACGCAGACAGGCGGACGTCACGTTTGGAGCGGCGACACCCGAACGAAGCAGCGAGAAGAGAGCGAAGGCTGTGGAGAGGGACGTCACATGGGCGATCATGTCTGTTTCGTTTCATGGTAGACTAGGCAGATGATTTTCTCGCAATAGGTTGCCGTTTCTTTCTGCGATAGACTGGTTGCCAACCAAGGCTATAGAACCCAGTCTGTCCTGCTATTCAACCTATACTTGATAAACGCTTGGGCGATCATGTATCTTTTGATTCATGGCTGACTAGGCAGAATACTTTCTCGCATTAGGTGAGCGTTTCTTTCCGCTGTCGACTGGTTTCCAGTCTGTCTTTTCAACACATAGCTGGAAGGGATGGAGTTTACCCAATCTATCCTGCTGTCCAACCAATAGCTGATAGGAGTAGAGATGGACTCGTACCTTTCTTAAGGGTACTTGCACATAAGGTAATATAACGAACGCAACTGGAATTCGAACTTGTCTCCCCGATTTCTCGTTTCGTGCCGTTATTCATTAAACTACACCGCATATCGATATGCAAATAATTATTATTTACGAATAATTTTTATAATTAAAAGGTTTTAGAAAATAAATGCAATTTCCATAGTGAATAACCAATGCAAATTAAATTGGAATTAATTTCAACTCGGAATTAATTTCAACTCGGAATTAATTTCAACTCGGAACTAAGGATTAGAGTTAGGGGTTAGGTTTAAGGTTTTTAAATCAAGTTGAAATTAATTCCGAGTTGAATTTAGTTCCGAGTTGAAATTAGTTCCGAGCTGAAATTAGTTCTGCGTTGAAATTAGTTCCGAGTTGAAATTACTTTTGTCACTCTTATGCAGGGGTCGGCAATCTACGGCACGCGTGCCAGACGTGGCACACCAAGCAATTTCCAGTGGCACGCAGCCGCAAATGACATCACGAAGTCCAAACCAGTAACTACTGCAATGCAAATATATTTACCAGTTTCTATTTTAATCTATTCTAAAGTATATGTACTATATATTACTATATCAAATATATTGTAGAACATTGACTTGTATAAAATACTTGTATAAAAATAATAAAATGCTGTCTGTACACTGAATGATTTTAAAACCCATAAGTCTGCACATAGCTAGCAAAAAGTTGCTCACCCTTGATATATAACATATATTTTAGGACTTGTTATACAAGTCATGTCCAGTAAGCCTTAGGGGATACATTTAAACTTATTAATCAATCCCTTTATAGAACCCTGGTGTTCTCGGCTAGGATATTTTAACGGTGTCAGGTATTAATAATTTCATTAACTCCTTCATGATAAGGCCGGATTGTATATTCTAAAATGCAGCAAAGGAATTCCTCGTGTTGATCAATATAAGCTAACTTGATTTGAGATGATCTCGTTTTTCTGCGCTCACCGCTTTTTTCGTGCCAGATGTTCAGCTTTCATTATTAACTAGGAATATAAAACATTCGGTTAATAATCTTTCTTCCATCTTTCTCACTCTGACGCGTGATTCATCAATATCACGTCTCTTGCTAAAAATGAAAGATATTATTGACCCGTGCGTGTGTATAGCTACACAAGCCGTTATAGGCTGCTTGTATTTATTTATTTATTTATTTATTCGTTACAGTCATTTTCTCAGAAGACGCGTGAAAAGTGCCTCAAGGTACCATAACTAAGGTACCCCAAATTGTACGTTGGTCCATGACATGTTGACAGAGGGTTTTAAAGGAAGATTTTTTTGGTAACAAAGAAAAGAGTACTGAGCTGTTATGTGACATCTGTCTTCCTCTACGGCAGCGGACGTTGGACGGTATCCTCAAAGATGAAGAGACTCGAGACGACGGAGATATGGTTCTACAGAAGGATGCTGAGGATATCATGAACCGAACATATTGTGATGGTCAAAGACGCATTCCTAAAGCTAAGCAGAATACTGCGAGACAGGAGGATTTCTTGGGTAACAAAGAAAAGAGTACTGAGCTGTTATGTGACATCTGTCCACTTTTACGGTAGCGAATGTTGGACGGTCTCCTCAAAGATGAAGAAGAGACTGGAGGCGTCGGATATATGGCTCTACAGAATGATGCTAAGAATATCATGGACCGAGCGTGTGAGCAACGATGAGGTTTTGGAGTGGTTGCAAAAATGGAGGCGGCTCAGAAAGAGGCAGCTGAAATTTCTAGGCCCTGTAATCAGAAAGAAGGGCTTGGAGAATATGATACTCATAGGTCGAATAGAGGGAAAGAGGGACAAGGGAAAGCAACGTATGACATACATGGTGGGATTAAGCAAGTGGATGACAGAACGTGGCTTGGGGCAGGTGGCCAGAGGGACGAAGCTTATTGAGAGTTTCAAGGGATAGGGAGGAGGCGGAGAGCCATGATCGCCTACGTCCTGAAAGGACATGGCACATAAAAAGAAAGAAAAAATTATTTTAGACTAGTGATTCTCACCCGCTGTACTATCCTCTTAAGTGTGCCGCGATATACTGTGACGGCATGCATACATACATACATATATATATATATATATATATATATATATATATATTTGGTTGGATAGATGTGAGTTTGTGACCCTGGGTTTCACGCTTTTAGCGATCGTCAGAATCGCTGAAAAGCGTGAAACCAAGGTCAAAACATCAATCAACCAAACATGTTAGCTCTATCTCTGATATTGAGCGCTTTCTAATAAATACCGCGCATATAATATATAAATAATTATACATATATATATTTATTTATATTTATATACACTTTTTCATATATATATATATATATATATATATATATATATATATATATAGAGAGAGAGAGAGAGAGAGAGTGATAGATAGATAGATAGATATGCGTGTGGAATTAGTTAGATTTGATTAAATGAATAAGGCCTGAATACCCCACATTAAATTCGGCCTTGTACCACATCTGGACGCGTGGGGAGGTTGGTAGATATCCTGCAGTTGGAGATTCGTCTCCAGATGTGCTGGTCAAACACTCTGCCTCCGAGCAGAGAGAATCCCCAGACGAGGCTATGTCGGTGGGCAGAATCTCGTCTCGGGAAACAGCTACCCGATCCCGTTTTATACGAGGTCTACGGGAAATTTTTAGCCGAGCCTACGGGCTCGAAGAACCCTACATTAAATTCAGCCCATCTGACCGCGTGGGGCGGTTGTTAAATATTCTGCAGTTGGAGATTCATTGTGGAATTCACTTGACTGACTTCTAGTAGTTGACTACTACTTCTACGCACCGCTGGCAAATCTTATATGTGTTGTTCTTGTCCTAAGTATTATGGTTCATTTCCAATCTTCGTGTGATTATTCTATTCAGTAACCTTCCTTAGGTTGCAATAATTATCCAACCAAGCCTGAAGAAACCAGTCTACATTCTAATTTATAAGAATCTGAATCAAGAGCTGTCATTCTCCGAGTCCAGTCTGTGTTATTATTAACAATGGTTTAAAATCATAAGATATATTTCTCCTAGACTGATGGTCCTAACAAGACTACAGGACCCAGTCTGCCCTATTACGGACAATATTTATTTGTGTTCCTCCTAGACTAACTGCACTACCAATGCTAAAAATTACAATCTCTTCTATTATTTGCAGCGGTCATATTCAGAATTGTTTGTCTATTAGAATTATTGACCTACTAATACTAAAAACATAATATGCCCTTATTACTAAAAATCATTCAATTATTTGTGCTTCAATGAATGTACTTCCAGGGCTTACGAAGTCTTTTTTTTAAAGGGTGTTCCAATAACTTGGACCGATTTTAAATCTGAATTAAGTTTAAGCGTCTAAGGATTTTTTTTCTTTTTCTTTTTCTTTCAGATTTAACAACTTAAGTCTTTGGCAATTTCAACCATGGAAAGATTAATAATCAAACAACGTGTTAAAGTTATCGAAGCCTATCACGAAAATGGACGTTCAAACAGAAATGCATTTCCCGCACTTGGCGATCTTTTTGGTCAACATAATTGACCAAGCGAGAGTGCAATTGTAAACGATGTAACGTTGCTGTGGAGAGGTTCAATTCCTGCGCGCCATGACGAATAGAGGTGTCTGGATTCTACGATTGAATGAATCTTCGACTTTTAACCCAAACATGTCGAGGAAACTGGACAGGTGTTCAGCTGTGTAGTGACACTACCTACGACTACACCCGGTCATGGGACGGATGATGAAGATGATGAACATTATTATGATCGACATAGAATTACGATTTATAGTTCTTTTTGGCATTTTTTTTATTGTTTCCAGGATAGGTAACATCACTTATTATACCTTTTCAGAGATCTTTTGCTGGAATATTCTTTCAGGCATCCCATTTTAATATCTCTCTCTCTCTCTCTCTCTCTCTACATATATATATATATATATATATATATATATATTTGAATAAAAACAGACCACGTTAAGATTCCATGTAATAAGCTATTTCACCATAACCCCTTAGCTTATTACATGGAATCTTAACGTGGTCTGTTTTTATTCAAACATATCTGCTCTGAATTTTACATTGAGCTCTCTGGATATCATCCTCCTCGGGTCTACCCATACGGATTACCTAAGTTTGATAAACTATATATATATATATATATATATATGAAGAAATATAGTTTTAACGTGTGCTATATTTATGGAATAAACTGCTGAATATCAGAGATAAAGCATATGTAAATATAAATATAAAAGTGAACATTGAATTCAACACACAGAGGCGACAGGCTGTCTCATGCTGGAAGCAATTTTCAACCTATCGCCTCTTGACTTCAATATATATATATATATATATATATATATATATATATATATATATATATATATATATATATCTCACATCGTTTCTGGTCTTCCTCGAGCGTATATCGATCTGAGTAAACTAATCGGAATTCTGAAATGAACACTTTCTTTAATCTACGGAGTAGCTCTGCTCAGATCCATTAGTAGTTAATAGATAGATAGATAGATAGATAGATAGATAGATAGATAGATAGATACGAACAGGCATAGATAGATAGATAGATAGATAGATAGATAGATAGTGTTGGTATGTCCTCACTTCAAAGAGTCTATTCCTCCTACTATAAGATTAGTAGGAGAGAAGGCCTTGGGGGAACAGCCGAATAGATTCAAGATGTTGTGAGCAGTAAATAGTTAAAGAAATAACAAAACAAGTGTTACATATATATAATATATTAAACAGTAAGTACAACAGAAGAGTATTACACGAATAGTGAGTGTGTGTCGGTTGACCCAGCGTTCAATTTATTCGACTGTTATATTTAACAGTCCCCCCCCCACAAGGAATGTATGTGGCACAAGGCCGAGTTTAACGTGGGTTTCTCCGAGCCCGTAGGCTCGGCCAAAAATATTCCCTTTGAACCCGCCTAAACGGGTCCAAGGACTGTCTACCTCCCCGGACGACACTTTGCTCTGCGGCAAGGCTTCGTCCGAGTTTCTCTCTGCCGAGGCAAAGAGTTGGACAGTTGAACAATCTATGCGACTGTTCTTACAAGGCCTTCTCTCCTACTAAATGTATAGTAAGCGGAAGAGTCTTTAGAGGGAGGACACCACAACAGATAGATAGATAGATAGATAGATAGATAGATAGATTCTATCAAACACATTTATAACTCTGCCATTAATCCATGGATTGAATATTGCTGCCATAACTGGTCTGGTGTTTCAGCTATGTATTATTGATAAAATAGAAAGAAAAATCTGCAATGTTATTGTTTATGACCTGGCAACTCGGCTTTAGTCACGTTTCCACCGCCGTAACGTGGCTTCTTTGTGCCTTTTTCTATAAATATCTTTCGTTTTGGCGCCAAGACTTTATGAATTTAAGCACAGTACTAGATTGTTGGTAAGGTCTCACCATTTTACCTTTTACAATCTTCTTAAAATCTGTTCTTTTATTGTTTTCTCTCCTTAATAAAATTTTTCTTTTTTATATATTCTCTGATCCCCAGTAGCCCCTTGTGTTAGGGGCTTTATTGCCGATCTTGGGAAGAAATGATTAAATAAGCGTAATCTTATAAATGCTTCAACAGGTTGTTTAACTTACAGTTATGGTTAATAAGCTTATCTAACAGGGCAGTTGAAAGAGTTAGTGAGTTAGTCAAATGGAGGTAAAATTGGAAACTATGTAGATTTATTTCAAGTGGTTTGAGTCAGTTTTCAAAATGGCGGTTTTAGTTTCTTTTCTGTTTCTTGTTCACAATTTGGCGGGAAATTGAAGAATTACCGGTAATGTCGATATGACATGAAGTAGGTTTTTGTTTTTTGTTTAAGATTTTTCCTCCTCAGTTTTCGTTAGGAGAGGGGGGGGTCATGTGGGAACAAAAAAACCTGATTGATTACTGTCATGCAATCACGTACAGCACAATTACAAAACTCGGGAGAACCTGTAAACAGAAGAACAATTTCATTTTTAGAACAGATTTTTATTATTATTATTATTATTATTATTATTATTATTATTATTATTATTTCGTTTCTATTTGGCGCCTGCAGAACAAAGATTAAAAAATTCACTGAATATTCCTCTGATTGCTTTGGTAGAAGAAAAAAAATGTCCCACGGAAGAACAAAGTAATTTTCAAATGACATCAATGAAGTTAAAATAACAAAAAAAAAAAAATCAAGCAAGTAAAAACAAATAAAAAATAAAAGCGAATCGAGTTAAGAAAAAAAAAGGAAAAAAGATACTGTCTCGTTTTCGCTCTTATTTCATTTGTTCTTTTTCAAAACGAGGCTATTTAAAAAAAAATAATCCGTCGTAATTGATGATGTTTTAATATTAACTTCTTTATGTTACTTTTTGTAATTTTCCGTACATACATGTGCCTGTATATATATATATATATATATATATATATATATATATATATATATATATATATATATATATATATATATATATATATATAAGTGTGTGTGCGTGTATTTCTCATAGATACATGTATGTATTTTAACATAAAATTAAAATAACATCTAAGAAACTCTTGCCTTGTCGGTGTTGCAAAATTATATTAGTAATATTTTAGTTTTAGAACATTTCATTATTTTTTTGCTTTGCCTTTCTTATAAATTTATTTTAGTTGGTTATAATAAAACACATTTAAGTCAAGGGCAGAAATTACTGTCAAAAATATCTTTTTAGAATGTTTAAAAGCAAAATACTAGCAAACAGAAATTGAACTCAAACATAACAGGATCAAACACACAGGCGGCAAGAAGTCTTAATTTTAATCTATTTATTTGTTGTTTTTTTTTTTTGTTTTTTTTTACTTGAGAATTATTTTTTTATTAGAGGATTATTATTTTTATTAGAGAATGAGGCAACACATCAGAATTTATTTACGAAATATTTCAACTTTTTTACACTGCTGCAGTTATATATATTGATACAGCCAAATTATAAATGCGCATATGAAATTGGACGAAAATCATTTTTTCATAAATATGCGTTAGACGCTGAGTTTGGTCGAATTAGAACGTTAGCATTCGACCCGGGTTCGAATCACACCACGATGGATTTTTCAGAGAGGTTTTCTTGATATAAAGAAACGATCCCTGGAAACCATACCACAGGTTGATCCAAACTAGACGGAACAGTTCATTGATGGTTGTCGTAACACGAAGTAACAAGTCATCGTGACCGAGTGTTTGAGTCTACTGTCTTTGTTCAAACTGATGGTCATGTATGCGATTTCTTCCAGAAATAGTAACTAAGGTCAGCTCAGTATATCTACAGTATAAACCACAGGTTGTCTCTTGGAGTCTTGAACACACACAACTGAGTCTGAGCAAGACAGAGCATCAGCGATTATTCAGCCACCATAGCGTGTAATCATACTAAGATTTTAACAGCAAACCATGAAAAAATTGAAAAGAAAGCACAAATGAGCCAGAGAAGGCGTCTGCAAAAGGGATTAGCCAGCCACAGTAAGAGACAGACAAGCACGAGCAGTGAGCTAACTAATAAATATGCGTTGAGAACTATATTCCTACAGGAATACGCAGTAAAAAATGATGTTTCTTGTAGAATATATTGAAAAGATTTCTTGAAGAAAAACATCTAGCTATGGGAATGAATAAAAATCAATTTCCTGTAGAAATACACTGAAAACTGTTTTCATATAGAAATGAAACTGTAAATGGTCTTCCTATAGAATTGTGTTGAAAAACATTTTCTATAGTAATTCACAGACTTATTCTTATAGAATGGAATTGAAAATCATTTTTACTATTGGAATATATTGAAAATTCTGTTCCTATAGAATTGCAGTGAAAATTATTTTCCTACAGAAATGGACTGAAACGAATTTCCCTAAAGGAATACATTAAAATATTTTCATGTGGAAATACTTTGAAAATCATTTACTGACGGTAATGCATTGAACTGTCTTGCAGAAATCCATCTAAAACCATAATACAATAGAATGCATTTAAAATAATTTTCTTATAGAAAGTATTGAAAATCATTTCACTGAAAGAATGCATTAGAAATCATTTTCACTATCAAAATGTGTTTTTATACATTCATAGTGTTTGACCCCAGTTTGTGCGTTCATAATTTGCCCATAGCTGGGACCCTACCAGTTGCTACCACGCCGGGCGAAGGTAGACTTGGGAACAACAACAATTTAAAGGCGGTTCCACAATCCTTAAAATCTTCCGATCAAAGGCTTTGCTACTGAATGTAGTTTATCGTCATACCCAGGACGTATTCCTGATGAAATATATATATATATATATATATATATATATATATATATATATATATATATATATATATTTGGAAGTAAAGTCCGATGATCCGCAGTACTTTAAAAGGGTTGTGGTGAAATAATTTATTACATGGAACCTTAAAGTGGTCTGTTTATATATATATATATATATATATATATATATATATATATATATATATATATATATATATATATATATATCGGCTCGTCGAATGAGGCTCAAGCAGATCACTTCCTAGCAAACCGACAGCACATGAGATTTCATTATATTGTGGTGAGGGTTTTGTGCAGGACCATCCACACTTTTTTGAAGGGCCGAATACTGAGACCTGGTGCACTAAGTGCCACAAGGTCCCCAAACGACCCTTAGAGAATTTAGAGTTATCCTTCTCCTAGACCACTTGCTATCCAAGCCTATAGAACCCAGTCTGTCCTGCTACTTACCAATAACTGGAGCGAGAAGAAGAGGATTCACACCTTTCCCAAGGGTATTAGCACGTAAGTGAATGTAATGGATTCGACTGGAATTCGAACTCGGCTCTCTGATTCCTCAATCCAAGCCACTATCCATTACTCCACCGTACGTTTGAGGACCTTGTAGGTAACAGATAATCTCTCCTGTGTCCTAGCTCTTGGGGTTGAATGATGGGAGATACTGCTCTGTAACATTGAAAAACCATTTAAACCAAACGAGTAACGTTCCACCAACACCGAACAGACCTTGAATTTCATCCAGTCAGGGTGAAACAGTCCCACTCAATCCCCCTTTAACACGTGAGATCTCAGATGGAACCTCGAGGATAAATAAGATCTACAGCTAATGGTGCAGTTTCTTGTATCGCTCTAATATTTTCACTATCAAAATATGTTTTTATACATTCATAGTGTTTGACCCCAGTTTGTGCGTTCATTATTTGCTCATAGCTGGGACCCTACCAGTTGCTACCACGCCGGGCGAAGGTAGACCTGGGGAAAACAGCAATTTAAAGGTGGGTTGAATGGTGGGAGATACTGAGATCTGCATGCTATCTTTAGAAAAGTCACATTAGACCAAAAATAAGGCATTGCTGCCATATCTGGTCTGGCACTGCCCAGTCCTCACTTGAACTTGTGTTCGAAAGTGTTTACGCGGCCTTGTGAGAGATTATTTATTTTCCACCCTCCAACCTCTCTCTCTCTCTCACACACACACACACACACACACACACACACACACACACACACTGATGCAATATGCCGAGCCTCTCACTGCTTTATCGCTGCTTGCATGAAAATTGCACCCCTTTCAAGCAGATGCAGCGTTGAAGTCCTATTACTGTTCCATTGAAACTGTTATGACAAGCTACCTTCCTTAATTCCGTCTGTTCCGACTTTCACACATGAAACCCGCCATGCCGCGTACACGGCGAGGAATCATCTTCATTCTCTTCGTGTTTCATTAGTAAGAAGACCCAACCTGACAGTTTCTTTCCAACAACTTCTTATTTGTAGATCAGGCTCTCGAGAGGGTGCTTTCCATCCATTAAAATCTCTACCTAAGTCTTAGATTAACCGTTATCTTTCGTACATAACCTCCTAAACTGCACGCTCATACAACAAACTTATTAACTAACCTTGAGTGGCTCTTGGGGCTTGTATTGGGTGAACATTAGTAAATGAGAACACAAAGCAAAATTTAGTTGATACTTACAGTTTCTTAGCGATTATTACTTGAACAACTTCTCTGGTTAATCATTTGGTCATGATAACTAGCAAAAACTATCGACGCTTTCCGAAAAGATTTGTCAACCCAATTTCAATCACAAGGCTTGGGTCAACCCGTGTTTTCAAGCATTTATCAACAGTGTCCAGGCTGGTA